GGCAAATTGTTATCTCAGTCGGAAAAACTGGATTGGCTAAAGATAACCTGAATAATTGAATTCAAACCGAATATCACGAATAGCATGCATCAAAGAAACCACACATGCAGCAATGCAATTTTTTTCGAATACAGTATCTTCACTTCTGGCAGCTAGTCCAAAAACATAATATTATTGAAATCATAATTAGGTAATTAAATTTGTTTGGTTGTTGTTGTTGTTGTTGTTGTTGTTGTTGTTGTTGTTGTTGTTGTTGTTGTTGTTGTTGTTGTTGTTGTTGTTGTTGTTGTTGTTGTTGTTGTTGTTGTTGTTGTTGTTGTTGTTATTGTTGTTGTTGTTGTTGTTATTGTTGTTGTTGTTGTTGTTGTTGTTGTTGTTGTTGTTGTTGTTGTTGTTGTTGTTGTTGTTGTTGTTGTTGTTGTTGTTGTTGTTGTTGTTGTTGTTGTTGTTGTTGTTGTTGTTGTTGTTGTTGTTGTTGTTGTTGTTTTTGTTGTTGTTGTTGTTGTTGTTGTTGTTGTTGTTGTTGTTGTTGTTGTTGTTGTTGTTGTTGTTGTTGTTGTTGTTGTTGTTGTTGTTGTTGCTTATTATACTGTTCTATAAAAGAGGCAATAAAGTCGGTTTTCCACTAGCGAATTTTCTCGCACGAAGCGACCTTTATCCTTTGTCGGTATCACTTATTACGTCAACAAGACGTGGCAAAATCAGTCCTCGAAAACGAGGTCGGCATTCGGCAATGCCGGGCTAAATGCAAATTTTGGCCCACCTTAATTCAACCAAAGTAAGAATTTTTTATGCTGATAGCTTTTAAAATGTCAGCGATTATAGAATTCGATTCGTAGTTCGATTAACTGAACACACTACGGTGTAAGGTTTAAAAACTGACGGGTATTGTGTATATACGTTAGATGTTTGAAGATCAAATTCTGGAGTTAAAATTTGGCTCCAACTTTCGAACTTTCCGGCTGGAGGTAACGTTCCAGTTATATTCCGATTTCAATGATTCGTAAATGCGTGATTAATAGTGCTCCAAGACGTGGAACAGATTTTAAGAAATGCCGAGATGTGCCGACCTAGGTCAGATTTAGGTCGGCCCTCTTTTGCCGACCTCAATTTTGACGGTTTTGACTTTTCGAGGGCTGCAAAATGGATGCCGACAGGAATTTTGGGTTTTCTGATTATGCGTGTCTCAGAATGATGCAAATGCCATTTCCGGGATTCAAATTTAAAAATTTTCCGTGCCTTCGGCACGAGCCTCCCCCCCCCCAATATTTCATAAAATGTCCGCCACTTGCACACACGGTGGCTTAAAAGGTCTTAAAACTGTTTATTCTACCGATAAATAAAGGGGTTTTTATTGACTGGGATTTCAATAACTCGGACTGGGATTTCTAATAAAAATCCAACTGGGACTGGGATTTTGCCAAAATTTCAGGTGGAAAATGGGATTGGGATCCCCCCTTCAGGACCCTCACTATAGGCTAATGACTCGGCAAAATTATCAAACAACAGTCGGCAAAAGATCACTCACACCCCACACCCCCACTCGAAGAGGGTTAGCGCCGCCCCTGGGTACGTATTTCTATTTACGCACGCGCTGTCCACAATACATCTTGCCGGGGTTGAAGGAATAAAATCCATAGTTTATTATTGCAACATATAAACTATTTTATTAACTGCATGATTCAGCATGAAGTCTTTTTGTTTTGTTCAAGGTTCAGTAACATGTCATGGAAATATGATAGAGAATGCCAACTGTCCTAAAGATCAGTACATGGTGGTCAAGACTGCATCTTACCGTGGATTGCCTGCCATAAAGACGTGTGGCTTGAGTGATGATTATAGTTGTGAAGCTGATGTAACATGTCTTATAAAGAAACAATGTGATGGTCAACATGAGTGTCGTGTAACTGTGGATGACAACTTGTTCTCTGAAGATGTATGTTTCGGATCAACAAAGTATCTTTACTTTGAATATCAATGTGTCAATACAACGACGTCTTTCAATAAAACTTGTGGTAAGTAAAGCTGGTGATAGTGTAAATGTTACGGTCACCAATGATAGCCATGCATGATAAATCGTGTGTAAGAAAAAGCTAATATACATGTAATCTTTAATAAAGGTTTTATCATTCCTATCTGCTTTCTTTCTTCAATTTGAAGATTTTTTAAACACACTTCAATTGCTCATACTTGTATCTTATACTGTGGTTCTTGTTAGCTCTGTTACCAAGAAAGTTAGATGCTATCTAACACATTGATATCGTTTTTCTAGCTCTGGTACCAGATAAACCTAGAAACCTCACGGTCACTAACATCAAATCTAGAAGTGCTGAAATATCTTGGCTGGATCCTGATCCTGGGAATCCAAGGATTCAATTAAATATTACACGATTTTGGATCCAAGTGAAGAAAGATGACGTACTTATCCTCAGTGCTAACACAGGAAAGGTTTACGAATACAAATTAAGCGACTTCACTCCATACACTATGTATGAAATATCCGTAGCTGCTGGAAATCCACATGGTTTCGGTGAAGAGACGAATACTTGGTTTCTAACATCTGAAGAAGGTGAGTGTTATTGAAAGATCAATTTTTAAAAACTAACCTTATATACAACTTGAGGCAGGGCCGTAACTAGACGTGATAATTGGGGGGGGGGGGTGCATGTTAATATTCGTGTTCTGCCAGGCGAATTTCTCTTGAAAGCGATTGTTTTTACGGTATGTGAACATGAATATATGAATATGCTCCACCACCCACTTCCAGGGTATCGCGTCTAGTTACGGTCCTGACTTGGGGACGTCAGTATTTTGAGCCAAATCAATGAACCTAGGCTGCTCGCAGCCCGAAATTTGGTTCAAAAGCAAATGAAGGCTACAATGGACCCTGAAAAACACCAATATTTTGTTGTTATTTTTCCAGTTGTTTTTCCTCCAGGACAATGTTATCAACAATATCCTTGTCTTTTGTAAACCTTGTCTTTTGTATGTCTGGATACTACTCACAGCTAGTTTTCTTTAAGTGTTAATATTTCTATTAAAATGTTTTCTAAGTTTCTTTTAGAGAAATAGTAGTTCGAATTTAGCTACAATAGCTACAATTTTATACTCTAGTTCCAAGCGGTCCTCCATTGAACATCAAAACCACATCAAGAAGTGCATCATCATTGTCTTTCACCTGGGATCCTCCTGAGAAAGATAAACAAAATGGCGTCATTATCAGTTATACTGCGTGTGTTTCACATTCAGAAAATGGCCATTGCTTTCAGATATTTACAACCAATAAAAGAGAATGGGTTATCAGACATTTGACAGCATCAATAAAATATTACGTGCGTATTCTTGCAAATACAAAGGTTGGTCATGGAAACTACAGTGAAAGTAGAGGATTTTTTACAAATGGAAGTAAGTAGAACATATATATATATATTTGGACTTTGTCTGTGGTTACCAGAATTTCTTTTCAGAATTTCATGTTTCGCTGCTTTTACGCTTGTCAGTAGTACGGTCTCCTAAGCTCTATTATAGAACAGACACTTCCTGGGTTTGCTTGAGCGGGCTTGCTTGCATGACCATGCCATGGGACAAGATGGCCAAATGACTTAAATAATATTAAATACGATCACATTGTCTGCCTCGAGTTCAAGTGTGTGTGCACTTATGGAAATTTGGGAAGAGTCTGTTCTTAATCAAACTTCTGCATGTGTGCTTAGATACAAACTGACAACCCTACACAGATCTCCGCTCTGCATGGCAAACATTTTAACTTAATATATCCACATTTTCCAACAGAAGCAGCAGAGAAGGCCATCGCTGAAACATCAAGTACAGTTACATTTTCATTGCAAATACCATCAAAAACGTTTGCGTAAGTTTATTGTCTTTCTGCTGGTATAAATATCTACGCCGATAATACAATAAGCTGCAGTGTTTGCTTGGGTCTAAATTACCAGAAAATAATTAAAAACTGGTAGATCTGACCCACATCTTTGGAATATTGTCGGTATACAGTTAACTGCAACGTTCACACTGTAATGAAAATATTGTTTCTGTCTTTAGTTATTTCTACGTGGTGGCTTTGAAATTAAAAGACGGCAAAGAACCTACATCATCTGGCAGTTACGAAAACAGTGAGTTCGTGACGTATGCCGAGGCAAGAAAATCAACCAATTCGAAACCTTATATCGCTGCAGTTGTTACATCCAGTGGTGTTGATAGGAAAATGTTTGTACTTGGTGATGGTAGAAATACAAGTGATCCCACATCACGAAGACGAAGGTCAACCTCAAGTGGTTATTATAATGGTCCGTTGGAGCCTGGCAGTAGTTATAGTATTTTTCAAAGAATTGTACTCAGTGACAAGGTGTGGTATTTCTTTGTTATCACACTTTAGAATTTATCACACTTCACTATAAATTTCATACATTTAGCCAGGGTAATTTCGGCCATACACTTAAAGCGGGAAGTTTCAAAAGCATTTTCATACAGATACCAAACATGGTTGGAACAAAAGGTAGTCCACATCAAATATACGATCACAGAATAAGGCACACAGAAGGTCGACTCGAGTAACCGCTGCCACACCATGATTCGTCATCAAAATGCTGACGCCATGGTCCTAGCCAGCGCGTTTGAGAGACATCCCCCCTGGACGTCCACCATTTTGAATATTATCAGGGGTGTGAATGCCTCTCAAACGCCCACTGGCTAGGACCATGGCGTCAGTATTTGATGACGAATTACGGGTTACGCCAAAATCATAGGAAAATCATAGGAAAAACCAAGAAGTCGGCCTTCTGTGTACATTATTCTCTGATACGGTCATCACGTTATGACATCATCTATTTATGAATCAATTAAGAGGTAAACATATTGTCACCTTCTTTGCTATATAGGTTGAATATTACTCCACAGACTGGAGTCCTGCTTCGAAGACAAGCGAATATGCAGGTACTTGTTTTCTAGCCGACTAAAAGTACATTAATACAGTGAACAGGCACGAAACTAGGGATGTAACACTCCCCATTCTCCATCTTGTCGGGCAAATTTTTCAATTTCCTAGGGCAAATTTTGAAAATACATGTATTTGAGTTCCTCGGATTGAAAAGTGATGGTTGTAGGAAATTTTTTGATAAATTTACGAAAATATTACTGAAAAAGTTTACAAATTAAGGTAATTATTCAGTGAAAGTTAGTGAAAAATGCTATGTCCAGATATTTTTTTACCACCACCCCCCCTCCCCCCGCTCGCCAACAATTTTGGGAAAATAAAAAATCATTGATTAGCGACTGGAATGTTCGTCCATCGGAAACGATTTCGGCCACGCCCTTTTGGTCGGGAAAAACAAGCTCATCTCTCCCCCCAGCCGTAATACCGAAGTTTCGCCCCCCTGACAGTGAAAATATGTTGCTTGTCAGAATATTCAAATATTTCTTGGTTTTGTTTCCCAGGTAGCCCGAGTATATTGATAAAGACGTCCAGCGGTGACATAAAGGCACAGGAAGGTGATCTTGTCAACCTACTGTGTTCTGCTCAAGGTGAACCTCCAGTAAGTTTCAGCTGGAAAAAAGACAAGAAACCACTGGAAAGTTTTATGGAAAAGGACAAGCCCCATCACAGTTCTTTACTTGTTGTAACAGTGAAAGATCAAACAAGTTTCGGAAAATATACTTGTCATATCCGAGATCGCTTTGAAAGCACCACGTATACAATGTCGGTCCTAAAAGATACCTGTATAGGTAATCCTACTTCAGGTAATGATGATTTAACTTTTATATGTTTTACATCTAAACAAAAAGAAGTTGCAAAATTTGGAAATTGTTTTTTCTTCGAGTTTATTGTGAGTTCTATAATTAAATTATAAGCCCGAGCTCATACTAACCAGGTATAATATCAAGCATGCTTTGCTCGCTGCTCTGGTTAAACTAAATGAGTGGAATTCCTGATAATTTGTTCAAGATTACATAGGTCTGCACACATTTGCTTAAAATTAAACAAGAGTAGCGAGCGAAATTTTTTAACATATGCATGCACTATGCCGATACATTTTAATATTTTTGATCATTTCAAGTTCCAGGCACGGACAAAAATGATGATGGTTCTGAAATCTATCTTGTTGGAATTATAATATTAGCAATTCTGCTGAATATTTTAGTCTTTATTTTTATCTGTCAAAATCGTCGTCTCAAGTCAAAGGCAAATTTAGAGAACAAGACCCATAGCAGAAATAATTCAAACGATACGTATCATTATGCTGACAAAGACGATGGCAGTTTTCAAGACGTGAAAAATGAACAGCCGACGTCTACAGCTCTCGAAAGGCTTGGGGAAGAAGAAAATGCTGATCATGTATATAGTCAGTTAAATGAAGTACAGAATGACCACGTACAGCTAGAGGAGGAAACTGGAATGTGATATATTCTTAGTGAACATTAAGCCAAGGAAACTGACGTTTAATGCTCCAAGACACTCAATGTTTTGGTTCTGTATTCAACAGTCATATAATTTTATAAAAAACCTCGAATAGTTTGACGTATATAACCATGGATAATAGCTTAAACCTTGAACAACATATAGAGTTATTAATCAAAGTTCCAAAGAATAATCAAGTGAGCTCTCCCAACGACAATATATCTTTCTAATATGTTAACATCTCTAATATTAAAAACCACTCTATAATCCAGACACTTTCTAATAGGAATAACTTCCTGTGTTAGTTCTCATATATTCTCTTTTTAATCTTTTTAATGTTATTATAGGGTTGCTTCATTCCTCCGCCTCAACAAACAACATCGGTAAGAAGGCAGAGGGGGGAGTCCATGCATAAACGCTGCCTAACAATAAACGAGTGAAATAATAAAAAAATCTTAAAAAATCATAATATGAAATTAGTTGAAAAGACATTCTGTTTGGAGGTCTAAAAAGTATGAGAATCCAGCGTTGGCCTCGGCGTAGAATAGAAGATGTTCGTTGGATTGCCCAGGCTACGTCTACATCGGCTAATCCATTTTCGTAGCGTTTTCGTATTATTCTCCCCGCAAGTATTTGATGGCGTGTCGGTTCTGATCTTAGATCAGTCAGGGTTCTGATGGCGAGTTTTCCCGTTCTTTTATCGCGTGTTTTGATGGCGTATGTATTCAGAGATTTACTCCGGTACGGTAATGTGTAAAATTTCCTATTCTCCGCGTTCAAAAGGGAATAAAGAGCAATGGTCTAGTTACCTGTATAGTTTGCGAACCCAGACGTCAATTCCCACGCCCATTTGAATAGATGGCGGCCATGTTGATCGTTCCCACTCACTAATAAACGCTTAAAAACAACAATAACTTTCATCATTTCATGAATACTTTAAAAATGTATTTGGAATAGGGTTAACTTAATGTTTAAGTACCCTGTTTGAGAACTAGAAAATATACGAATCTTCTCTCATTTCATGGGAACGACCTGATCGCGGTGTGTTGTGGAAAAATCCGGTTTCGTGCATTGTTGAAATATCGTTTAAATATCGGATGGTTGGTCGAGTATATGAGAGGATCCGCTGCAGCATTAAATATCATAGCAAAAAAACACCAAATTATTTTACGTCGAAATGAAGGCGTCAGACGAGAGGATGGAGTTGGATGAAGATACAACACTACCATTGATGGTATACAAGCCCCAAAGAATGTCAGTTAAGTAGTTTATTTCTGGGGGCAGTACTGCAATTCCAACTAATTCCAACAACAGCTGACAGGAGGAAAGTAATTGCCCAAGGAAACTATATGACCAAACACTTTGCCCTACTGCAAGTCATCAAGGCAAGATATCTTAACGAGCTGTACACGGATAGAAATCTGTTGAACGTCAACATAAGTAAATTTCCAGCACTGGTACTGGTAATATACGTAGCGATCACACCAGATAAAGAATGTTCCTGCATGAGCGTATAGCGTAGAACAGTGGAATCGCTGTGACGCAAAAAATTCCATCCGCTACAGCCAAACTAAGGACGAACCAATTGAATGGAAAATCGAGCATAATTCTGTTGTGTAGGATAATTGCAACAACAGCGATGTTCTCCAGAAGGCCAACAGACGCAATAAAGACAAAGGAAAATCGAAATATACTTTCGGAACCGGTAAAGGTTTGTCGATGAATGCTAGCACTTGACTGAGTCAAATTATCACCGCCCGATAAATGGTTATCCATTTTAAAGCAACCAAATATCAAAAATATATTTCTAAAATTAACTTTTCAGACACTTTCAAACTAGCTCTTGCTTTCGGTATATGAACAAGTGAAGTGTGCAGGCGAAGTAAGTCAAAGCGATTATATAATAAGATCATTTGCGCAGTTCATTAGCCATCGTCAAACCAGAGTAAATGTTCTCGAGAGCATAATTATCAGTCGGCTGAAAAAGGAAAAGCATTTCAAAGACTCCTTGTTAATACTGTTTCTTGTTTATACATGCGCATACGCATGACAAAGCTTTGAAACCGAGGCCGAAAACCCGCCTCGTTGGCAATTACCTGATGATATTAGTCCAGTGGTAATGCTATAGCAGCATCTAACTATCTAAGGAAGTTACGACAAAAGGAATTATGCCCAAGGGGAAGGAATTATTGCCCTAATTAGATATGCTTACCCTAATTAAATATTGATCGAGGTAAACTTCAAGAGTGGATTGATTTTTAGATTTTTAAGATAAATATTAATGCCCAGCAGAAAATACGTAAAAGAGCCATAACAAAAATATAGTTTAGAATATTTCGTTTCGTCTTTCACTTAAGACGTCTTCAGAGCAATGACATACAAAGCGGAAAACATAGAAAGATGAATAAATTGCAACTATTCACGAGATATTATATTATAAAAGTAGAAAGAGGAGTGAATCAGAGTAGAAATTAATTGAGGGCCGAACTGCCTTGTAATTTGAGGGTTTGAGTTTGTTAATGAGAAGACTTTCTCGAATGAGGAGTTCGTCTGGAGAAGAGCAACAAGAAATAATCTTAAAATCATTAAGAGATGCGGTGTGTTATCAAGATGGGAAAGGATATTAACAGCTGGTTTGGGTTGAGACACATTTTCTAAAAATGTTTGTACGCAGCGATCAATGAGACGAGTTGGATAACAATTCTTATTAAGAATCTGGCGGTATAGTTCTAACTGAGCGTGAAAGTTCTCATAATTGGAGCAAAGACTAAAAAAACGATGTATAAGAGAAGAAACTAAGCTACGTTTATATTTTTAGAAAATGTGTCTCAACCCAAACCAGCTGTTCATTCTGCTCTTAAGAAGGTCCTATATTTCTCTCTTCCCTATACTGGCGCTCACTCTCTTCAAATTCGCACCCAAATCTCCCGTCTTTGTTCCTCGACTTTCCCCATCTTAATATTAGATTCGTTTTTCGTCCAATTTTACGTCTGTCTCACCTTTAAGGACAAAATTCCTAAGGCTTTAAGATCTTGTGTTGTGTATTCCTTCACGTGTCGTTGCTGTTCCGCAACGTATTTGGGCCAAACGGTCCGTCACTTGCACACACGAGCGAGTATCTGAACACTTGGGTGTTTCTCCTCTAACAGGCAGTAAAAGCAGCAATCCGGCCATGTCTAGTATCCTTTCCCATCTTGATAGCACTGGTCACACCGCCTCTCTTAATGATTTTAAGATTATTTCCTTGTTGCTCTTCTCCAGACGAACTCCTCATTCGAGGAAGTCTTCTCATTAACAAACTCAAACCCTCTTTCAACTTACAAGGCAGTTCGGTCCCTATACTTCTACTCTGATCCACTCTTCTTTCTACTTTTGTAATATATTATCTCGTAAATAGTTGTAATTTATTCATATTTCAAGATGTCTTTAGTTAAAGACGAAACGTCGGCTTTCTAATAAATATTTTAAACTATATTTTTGTTATGGCTCTTTTACGTATTTTCTGCTGGGCTTTAATATTTATCTTAAGATTGCGATTTCCGCCTGGTTCATCTATCGCAAGTATTTTAGATTTTTGTTGTTCGCTACAGCTGCTGTTTAAAACATGTAGCCGAACTATTCGCTACTTTACTAGTTCACTACACAGTACACACGATAAAATATTTTGCTATCCACATTTGTAATTTACATTTGTAATTTGCAATTTATATCTTTGTCGACAAGTAAATTTCATTAGGCAATCGATTGAATTACCCCCCAGACCACTGTGATTCGACAACATATATATCAAAACTTTGTAAAACGTATCAAACGGGGGCAGGCAGACCATTAGAAAAGTGATGGGGGGGGGCAGGCAGACCATTAGAAAATGATGGGTGGGGGTGGCGAAAGGGGTGGTAGTGGTGGTGTGGACAAAACAATTGCGAATTTGCGCAAACGAAAACAAAAACGTTAGTTAATTCGCAAAGAGGAAAGCAAGGAAAATACCTGCATGAGTTTAAAATTCCGCATAAAATATCCAGCACAATAAGACGGTCGAAAAAATTCATGTGAGCTGAAAACTCTTCACCTTCATAACTTTTTTAATGGCCGGCGCCTTAGATCTAAGTCTAAGATAATATTTTTTAAATCGTTGAGGGACAAAACATCTAGCAAGATAATCAGGTTTCTACAAAACATCGAGACATTCAAGTCACTCAGTTAAATCATTTAATATGATAAATCAACCATGTTACAATAAGCTAGTAGTTATTTACATTATTTTTTTTTACAATAAAATCTATAGACCGGCTATAATTTTGCAGCTTGATGTAAGATGAAACTATTATTATTGATAAATAATTCGCAAAGCTCTTTTCTGAATGTGCTCCACTGATCATTTCATAAATACTGCATGTGGTAAACTAGTATGCCTGTATGGAATGCCTGACAAGCATACTCGAGTACTGATCTTATGCAACTTATGCAAGAATAGTAGATGTAATTAATGATTTGGAATCTACATCAGCTCGTTTAAGTTTTCTTAGCAAACAATAAATACGCTTATAATGCCTGTTCCACTTAAGATCTTGTGTATACAGCTATTTCAATTAAGGTTGTCCCCGCGCGCGCGAGCAAAGCGGAAAAGTCGAATAAGAGCTCGAAATGCTTGCTGGGAATCGTTAATAAATTCATTAATTTTTTAGCGATTCCCAGCAAGCCGTTCGCGCTCGTTTCAACTTTTCCGCTTTGCTCGGGGACAACCTTAATTGAAATAGCTGTATATAGTTAACACCCCAAGGAGTTTTGCTGCATTCACGATTTCGAATGATTGGTTGTTTACTTTTAGTGTAAAAAATAACAGAATAGTTGCAACAGGAAGGGGGAAATAGTCAAACTTATTATTAATAAAGAATTGTTTCCTTTTCTTATTCAGGCCTATCTTGGACGGGTTGATCGTGTTTGTCAACACGTTTTGAAGATGTATGCTGTTTATGCAAATTTAATACCTATACTTAAAATCGATCTTAAAATATCAGAGGATCTTTATGCAAACACAATCAAAATAATACGAAATGATTCTTTAATTTATAACTTTTACGTTATTAATGTGCATTAACTTCACAGAGTCAAGACCCCTGTACATCTCACCTTCCTGTTATAACTTTTCTGTTAATCTCAATAAAATGTTGAAATACATTTAAGATTTTGCGACTCATATATTGATTATAATCAAATATAAAAAAATAAAAAGGCCATGTTACATGAGGGAATTTTTACTGCAACTTTCAACGAAGTGAAACATGTTGTTTAAAACAGGTAATCGCAGGGAAATTTTGAGCATGACCCATACTACAAATAAAGAATCTCATCTTTCTACCATCTGGATATTTCTTCTTATGTTACCTTTTCTTCTCACTGCGCTCGTCTCGCACCCGCATTCAAGCGATGCCAATTTGCTTCAAACAAATCCTTGCAGGACTTCTCTTTTTAGAAACTCTTTTTTTAATTGTATATATTGTCTTTCTTTGGAACAATCTGTCAACGATAATTCGTAACAGTTTATCTGTTTCCTCTTTTAAGCGCCAACTCTACATTCATTACTCTTCCGCTAATTAGATTCTACTTTCGATGTTAAAAGAATGCGCACTTGCATGGAAAATGCGCACTTGCATAGGTTGATGGTTTACTGCGCTGACATTTTTCACTCCATTTCTTTCATGTACGACGTTATGTGTAAAGAATGTCGCTCAACAGAGTAGAATGCGGGCTATGTTCTCACATTTCTGCGATTATACTTTTTAGATAAAGATCCGAAATGTCATTACAAGTTGCAGAAAAACTTCATGGCGTAACATGACCTCGAGACGCAATAAGTGAATTAATTCATGTACTGCGCATCCAAAAGAGGCGTTCTGCGTCGAAATAAAATTGCAGACATTGCAATTGACATGCTCGTAGCAGTGAATATGATTTAATTGTATATAATGTGTATATAATGTGTATTGGTGTCAGTTTGTTAGAAATTTCTCAACAAAAGCAAAACAAAAGTCATTCCTTTAGATGTCATTTGAATACAGTTGACATGCAGCCTAGACGTGGACCTTTACTCGGGTGGCTTTGGCAGGTTTGGTCAATTTTGGCATTGGCCGTTCTCAAATTTTGGCCGTTCTCAAATGAATTTTGTTTCCCGGCTCGCGGCCAGGCATGATATAAATCACTTTTCACAACACAAAAACCCGTCATTTTACACCTCGTAAAAAATCATCAACCATGTTTGACTTCCAGTTACAGTATTCAACTACAAGTACTCAATCCAGTTTCATTTTCAGTTCAGTGGCTCGTGCTCGCAAAATCCTGCGAATTTGATGACGTAATAATACTTTAATTAAGTAACCACAATTCCTCACGCGTGCGGCTATAAAAGCGGAGAGTTAATTAAATCCGTCATAATTGCAACTGTCGCTGCACAGTACATTGCGCATAAGAAAGAGACATGGAAAATTCAATTTCAAAAATACCAAATGATCTTCCTGCTGCACGAAAGCAGTATCAAGAATTGTTAGAATATGAGCGAAAGTTAAATAAACTTTTCAGAATGCTTGATAGATTTTTAAAGGAGGGTAAACGAGGAGACTTAACGGATGAATATTTAGCAGATCAAAGGAAAAGGGCCGAAAAGACAAGAAGAAATATGCTTGCAGATAGGAAAGCTTTGGAAGAAAAGTTCAAAGAACTTCAACAGGATACAATACAACAAAGTAAGATGGCATAAAATTCAAAATAGACTGGGGGATTGTAAAAGCGTACAAATAGTTTATATATATATATATATATATATATATATATATATATATATATATATATTCAATAAGTAGTATTTATCGTGTACAGGCTGAAGTCTTCGGTAAACATTGCATGCATCATTAGTTTAATTTTTAAAAATGTTCACGAAATAAAGTAAACACACCATTTATTTATGTAGTATAACTGGACAATGCATGGGAATAAAAATTATTGGGTATAAGTAATTGTTAATTTGTTATGTACAGGTGTATGTACCACAATATCACAGTACCACAGAATACCAGTTTTTTATTTCTCTTATAAAATTTGAAGGAAACATACTATATACTTTATTTTTGTGAATATATATTAGCCTTAGTCTCAATGATCATATAAAAACGAAAAATGGATATTTTCATAAAACTCTTAAAAATAATCGGGATAAACAACAAATAAAATTCCTTATTTTTGGTACTTTTTTCTGCTTAAATTAATGCTCGTAAATCAGAAAGTTTGAAAATAAGTTTGGAAACCATGAACATGATTTACATTCACCAACAGTTTTTCTAAGCGATACAACATTTTTACTATTCAGGAATCTCACGAGTAATCAAATTTCAGTACTATAAAAAACTCAATTTTTCCAAAATTATTCGTAAACCTAATATACTGTGGTACATACCACCGGTATTCAGTAGTGATTTTAGTATTTACCTTCCACTAAATTAAGTGTTAGCAATATCTGTACAGTGTTACCACACAATATGACACACCAAATCCTCGTACAATTCGATAAACCGTTCCTTACTTATTGCTGCACTAGTATTCTGTGGTACATTAGGATTTTATCCACAGAATATCCGATTTAAAAAATAATAGAATCTGTCAAAAAGAAAAAAATAGGAAGAAAAAAATAATGCAAAACTATTACTAAAAAATATTTAACAGGCTATGTTATATGCATTTGACAAAAGATATGGAATGTGTAAAGACTGTAAATTTGTGTGGTATTCTGTGGTACATACACTTGTATAAAGGAATATGATTGGTCCAGTTTTTCCTATCAGGACTGTTCTCAAACTCAAGGGGATAAAATAAAAAACGAAATTGCATCAAGAAATTAAAGAGCTTGCCTTTATTGCAGGTGAGAGTCAATATTTTGCCAGCATCTATAAAGTGTGTAGTGACTTTTTATGATTCTAATATTGAACCTTGTCACCAAATTCGCAGATTTAATAGAATCAACGACTATTGTTTCCATATGACTATTGTTTCCATAACCACACTATTAACCAGAACTGACACAATATTTTTACGCCTTAAACTATGGAGCGGTATTCGGTTAAAAATATCAGCAGACTTGTTTACAGGTCGATGCGATCATCGTTCGTTGTGTCTCCTTATTGCATTAGTATGCCTTAAGACAATGCGTTCTGCCAGCTAGCTATTAAACAACTGTCTGAATGCAATACGTCAACCTCGTACCCAGGGTCTTTCCTCTTGGGAAGAAAAGACCCTGGTCACGTGATCTGATAAAATCTAGCAGATTTCTAATTACCTATCTTGGATTTCTTTATGACAATCATACAAAATGCAAATTACACATTAAACTAGAAAAATTATCCAAATATATCAAATATTTATTGACCTCATCTTGGATCAGCGTCCACCAGGGTCTTTTCTCCCCTCGCCAAGAGGAAAGACCCTATTAAAGTACGAGGTTGGCAATAAGTTTCGGCTAAACAAATTATTTTCTACCTGATCGAAATACGTTTCGTCCGAAAGTACTGTGTTAAGTGCATGAAAAACTGATACACTTGGGTAAGTATCATATCACGTGTGACTCGCGGCTGAAAATCAGATGAGGTACACACGAGGACATGATAGGATAACGGACTGACACCGGGGTGAGTGTATTAAGAGTTCGCCACACGGTTCTCACTACCACCACAAGTACACAAAAATCACCGGGAAAATGGCGGACGAGAGGCAAGCAATAGAAGGAAGAAGTTGTTTCGCTGACCTCAGAATGACAATTCGTCGGAATATTTTTCCTCAAGATTGGTTTAGAAACAAACTTGGAGTCAGGGGTTAGGTTAGAGTTGGTGTTTGGAATTAGCCTTTCTCACGCCGCCATTTTTGGGACATAACAGCGACTTTTTATAATTTTTTGGACGAATGATGGTAAATTTGCTTTGTAAATGGTTAGTTTATTTTGAAAAATTGCTTTTCACATTGTTTTAATTGTCTGATAATGAAAATTTGATGCCACCCAAAAATGGCGGATATTCGTCATCGTGAGAAAGGCTAATAGGGTTAGTGTTAGTAAAACCGTTGCTTTGTCACGTTTTGTCACTCTGAGGCCAGCGAAATAACCTCTTCCGCAATTGAGAAAGTGGTCGGTTGACGCCATGCCAATCTTTCTGTTTCGCCCGCTAACTAAATTCACTGGCCTCAATGTGTTATGTGTCAGTCCGTTATCCCATCATATCCTCGTGTGTACCTCATCCGATTTTCAGCCGCAACGTCGTGTTATTTTTTACCCTTTCACCGCGTGTCAAACGTCATTTTGACTATTTACATGATACTTACCCAAGTGTATAAGGGACCGCTCATTATTTATTGTACGGGGGATTGAGGAGAAACTGAGGGGGCCTTTAATTTTTTTTAAACCTGAAAGGAGGATTTGGAAAATACAGAGAGACGAAAGAAGGGGGGGGGGGGCTTTGAAAAGATCCTCAGTCCCCCCTGTACAATAAATAATGAGCGGTCCCTAAGTTTTGATCATGCACAGTTTCGGGCGAAACGTATTTCGATCAGGTAGAACGAACATAATTTGTTTAGCCGAAACGTATTGCTTTCAGACAGATGTTAAACAAGCAGGACGCATTGTCTTAACGACTTAAGGCATACACTAATGCAATAAGGAGACACAACGAATTCTGAATGATCGCATCGACCTGTAAACAAGTCGGCTGATATTTTTGAACCGAATACCGCTCCATATTAAATATGGTTTCTTTGCCGATTGTCATTGACTCATTATGATTTTATTCATAAAAAGTCTGTTTTTCAGAAAATGTATTTAACTAAAATCTCCATTTTTCAAGCTATTATTATCGTGAAACACGAATTAGAAAATTTAAAACCGCGGCATCTTCACTGTCCAATCAGTAGAAAAGCGTTGATTGTGTCGAAACACATTCGCCGCCATTCGGGATAGCTAACAAAAACCTGTTCTTTTCGAAGCGACACTGAATTTTTCCAACTCCGAAGCCTTTCATTCTTACGCTATCCTGATATACCATGTATTTGAAAAACGCATATACTGTTTTTACTGAAAAACTATATTTTTTGTCTGTTTCTTGCCAGTTTTCGTGTTTTCTTTCAACTTTCCAATTTTTGTTAGGCTCATTTCGATTACACAACAGCACACACCACCACTGATCTCAAGTTAATTCTCAACACTGCATGGAAATTTGGTAAATTTAATTTAACCTCCCCTCCCGGTTATATACAAGATCTTGTAAATAACATGTAATACTATCTATTTAAATTGCAAAGGTTCGGACCAGTAGAAGATTATTATAACCAAACTCGCGTACTTCTTAAATACCTTAACCTTCTCAATTAGTGATGAAGTTTTCAGAGTTGATTCTAAAGGCTGTTTATTGCTTTACGTTACATAGGTGAAAGAAATAAGAATGGTGACTTAGCACAGAAAATCCCAACGGCAAATATCACATCATTCCCAGTGGTATCATTCCCCAAAGACTTTGACAAAGTTAAACTGGTTCGAATTGCTCCCATGCCGAAAGTAGTACGAATCGAGAATGTTTCATTAATGGAAACACAAGAACTGCAGCCATTTAAGCCGACAGTAAAAAGAGTTCTTATAATTAGTTGTGGAATCCACGAATGTATTCAGGCTATGAGTCGTGGAAATGAAGGGAAGTATTCCTTACATGTGTCGAGCAAGACCGGGGCTCCACGTGTAAGTCTGAATCTCTCTATCTCGATGGCCAGAAGTCTGAATCTTCCATGTGCTTTCACAACTACTCGCCAACGAATGATGTTAACATCAACAGCATCAAATATACAGCAATCACGTGCACTAGAAGAGCTGATGCTCTTAGAGCGAGGACCTGGGACTCCACTGGTGGTGTTACAATCGTTCGCAACGAGGTGGACACTGCCACCCTCATAAAACCATCATCATTTCCTGCCTTTTTACCAGAGAATGCTTCAAACTGTTTGTTAATAAACATGCCACAAGCATTATCTCTGCTTTCTGCATTTTTGTCACTGCAACAATTGATGCGTCGTCTGGATTTTCCTTGTGCATTCACAACTACTCGCCAACGAATGATGTTAACATCAACAGCATCAAAGACACAAGAACCACATGCACTAGAAGAGTTGATGCCCTTAGAGCAAGGACCTGGGACTCTAATGGTGGTGATTAAATCATCCGCAGCGAGATGGAACTCACTGTCAGTCAGTGTACGTACACTGCCACCCTCACGCAAACCATCACCGTTTCCTGCATTTTTACCAGAGGATGCTTCAAACTGTTTGTTGATAAGTATGCCACTACATACATCTTTGGTTTCTGCACTTTCGTCACTGCAACAACTGATGCGTCGCAAGTTGCCACCAATAATGGATTTACCTCTAGTAAGAGCTCTACCACAATCATCATCATATTTTCCTGCAGTATTGTCAACGTTATTACCAGAGAATGCTTCAACAACTGCGATAAATTATGGTATCAAGATTAACAGGATACCAAGAGAAACATTACCGCTGTCAATAGTAATTACACCACCGCAACCAAGACCATGTGGTGTAGATGAAGATAGTTTGGCGATCTTAAATCATTCTGAAGAAATTAGTCATGAGTTACCAGATTCAAGCCACAGCGAGAAAGTTGAAATCACTGATGTTGATGAACCCTTGAAAACATCTGATATTCAGGACACTTCAGCTTTCAAATCAGGTATGTAGTATTTTTTGAATTTACACAGAAACGCAGTATATTTGAACAGGTCGAACAAGGAGTTGGGTTGACATAATGACGAAATCCTTGTTAGCCAAACTATGCTTGGTGAAAATTCTAGCCAGGTGCATATTTATATATCCAGTTAGTATAGTCTGGTTATTTCAAAAAAGAGCGCCTGGTTAAATCCTGTCAAACCCTGCTTAGACCTGAAATATAATTTGATGCGAATGAAGCAAGTTTTATCCACTTCGTTTCACGCGTTCGTACCCAAAAGACTGTTCCAAGTGTAGAACGTACTGTGCACGTTAGGCCGGGATCAAACGAGGATGAGAGTGCGAGTTAGGCAATGACGCGACCTTGGTCAGCTGCTCTTAATGTGTTCCCAACGTCATCGCGTATTGTATTTAAGTTAAAACATAATTGGAACATTCATCAAAACTTTATTTTGTTTTAATCTAAAACTTGAAATATGTCCCCCGTGACAATGCGCGAATTGGCAACTCTCATAAACTCCAATCCTCGTTTGACCGGTTCTTTAGTCATCCGCACAAACCTGGATGGATAACCTGCTTAGTCCTGGACTTGGAACAATCCTGTAGGATGAATTGTTATTGGTAATGTAACTGTTGGTGTTAGCGACGTTTATAAGTGACGTGTGTTGTTGTTGTGTTGCAATGTTGTGTTGTGCCACCTGTTATTAGTAACCAAATCCCAATCCGTTGGTATTTGTGGAAAAAACCGGTCAAGCATTGTCCAGTAGTCAAAACAAAACATTCAGAATTTGAATGACTATAAGATCGTTTTCAATTCTTTATCCTAGGTTGTAGTGAAACAGAAAGCAACATGTCGGGAAGCAAGAAAATGAAAAAGCGATCGATTTGTGGACGAATTCTTATACTGTTTACTTGCTGCTTCCGCAAGCAAAGACAACGAAAGTGATGTAACGTGAAAACATTATTGGGCAAGAAATGTCTAGGTGCAAATTAAACATTTACAGTAAAATAGACAGAACGATACTGCATGACAGTTAAATCAGTATGTATTATACTGTATATGTATATATTATTATCTCTATTTATTGAAGAATTAAGTATTAAGAAAGATTAAATGTTTTTCTGACTAATGATTTCAAGCATTATACGTCACACTATGGGCTAATACCAAGGGAGGAAAGAAGGGCTTGACAGATAGCGATTCATTGCATATCATATGTGTAGATTCGTTCAACTTGTCTTAGAAGGCTGGTACCAGGTTTTATCCCGCGCGCACTTTTCATGGAAGTGTCTTTTAACGTTACAGGATACCCTTTTGGGCGTTTTGCGGAAAATCGCTACTGCGCGCTCAATATCAGTCCGATTTTCATCAAATTTTCACCAAATGTTCTCCAGTGCATGCAAAATTTGGTAAGTAAAGTTGTAAATTTGACAAACAATAAAATAATATAAGAATTATTCAGGAAAATCTTAAATCGCGGTACCTTTACGCTTTTGAGTTATGTTCCTGCTGGTTTTAAGATACATTTATGAAAATATAATTTTTATACAGTAAAATAGTTGTTCTAAAAAGTGTTTGGAAATTTTTGTTTATTTCGTCATTCCGCTGATATGGCAATTTTTTGATGACTGCAACATATTTCTGAATCGTTTGAGTGAATTGCTTCTTATTATTAAAATATCCAAAATTAGAAAAAAGCCGAACACAATTTTGAAACTGAAGTCTGTAGCTATGTCATGTGACAATTTGAGAAAAATTCGTTAAAACCCGCAGGAGAACAACTCGTTTGAAAATCAGTAATTGCCGTAAAATTCTTCGGGAGAAAATTGAATTTTACATTTTCAATGTTTTTCTTATTATAGCGAAATGTATTTTATTAAATAACTCTGCGAGTTTTCAACATTTTTCGTTCAAACTTGGTCAGATAGTAGAACCAGTCTAATGCTTTCATGGAAACAAGTAAAAAAAATTTAAGCAAAATTAACACTCAAAGGTGTTCTGTAACCTTAAGAAAGGTAGCGACAGATAAGTATGGGGTGTGGGAAATGTGACTTTAAAATGATCATCAAATGACGCTTAAAAAATTTCTTCTTTTATAATAGTTTGTTTGAAAGTCGTTTGTGAGAAATGTTTTTTATAGTCTACAACTAGTGAGCTTCGAGAGGCCTCTGATCCGACTGCGAAACAACTTTATCAATCCGATCCGATATGTATATTTTTGTTCCGAGCACCGAACTAATCCGATCGGATCGGATTTGCACACCTCTAGTAGATACTCCGGTCAATAGGGTGCCCCCTCCCCTCCTCTGGGCAGCCGTAGTCTGGGCGCCCCTGAAAAGAGAGAATATAGAAATTAGATCGAGTATAAGTTTTGTGGTGAAAACAGTATACTTGGTTTTTTTGGGTGTAACAAAAACAGAAACATTAAGAACACTGTTAACTCCTACAATTTTAATTTCAATTTTTAAAACTCAAAACCAAGGTTACATTCTGCAACACAAATCATTTATGTGTTTGCACTCAAAAACATGACTAAAAGTTTGCAGTCTGTTGATGTTGAAGCCATACAGATATCTTTTTCCATTTCTCTGGCTGTGCATTTATTCTCGTGGCAACCAGATATATCCCACTTGTTCAATTTGGCATGATATCAATGCAAATGATTACTTCGTCCTTTTTGAACGACGGTGTTTCACAGAACTCCATAGTCCACCACATTGAAGACTTCCGTACGAACACCAACACCTACTTAAACTATTGTTACAAAATTTCTATCCTGGAATAACACTCAGCATAAAGCGTTGATTAATGGTAATGCAAGACCTAAAGAAAATCCACCGTGATCTGGCTGTCGTCCACCTTGGCTCTGTTTAAAAATTAAATGAATACAAGTCTTACAATAATATACAGAACACCAAACTGATGTACAAATTTAACGTTGCAACTCAATCTCAAAAATTTAATAACGGTTAACGAGCAAGAGTCAACATCGTAAATTTTGTATTTTTATTCTGTAGTAAATAAACCTAACGTGTGTTTAAGTCTGTTGCCACCCACTCACACACTTTGAAACATTTTCGTGTTCATTCTATATGATAATGCTAGCTCACATTATCAGAACGGTGGGTAATTAGGCATGCGAAAATGTGGACTGAGTGAAAACAGACATAAATACCGGCGTCAGCAGATCCACAATCTCGTATCCCGAGCCTGCGATCTTTTGGGAAACAATTGGATAGCAGGCTCAGGGTACGAGATCGGCAGATCCCGAGATTAGTCATTCGCCGAAAAAGATAATACCTAATCTTGGGATTTGAGCCAATCGCTTGAAAAACTGTGACCATCAGGTTATTAATATAGATTTCAATATTGTCGTAAAGGTTGTGAACGTGTCACTCAGGTTTGTACAATTCGCGGAGATATAATGGGGCATCTGTATTCCTTAACTACCGCCCCTTATACGGTTCGTAGATACGGGGTATCTGCAGTGAAGCCGGGATACTTCATGATGTAAATGTTATACAAAGCATGAGTAAAAACATGCAATTCAGGCTCATGATTTGACACATTTTGCAATTCAGCACCATTACGACAATATGAATGCTTTATCGTGTAAGTTTAGGTATATATAGAACACCGCGGTCAAACGTCCGCGTATTGACTGCATGTACTCTCGAAAAACTGGAAATAGTATTGTCTTCACGAAACTCTAGCAAAAAAATTAAAGAAAATTACGAAAGTTTATAACGGTGAAATTCACTACCTAATAGCTTCAGCCGTTTCCTTATAGTATTTACTCTTATTATTTTGGCAGACATTTCCTCCATCATTTCCCGATTTCGTGCATGTGGTTTACGTTTGACCGCGGTGTTGGTATATTATTTTGACCGACTTTCATGAATCATGGTACATGTATTGAAACATTTGAAGAGCAATCTATACTATTTACTTGTCGGGTGGTGGAAGTGGAATAATGAATGAATAACATTTCATGGAGGAGATGTATAATGATATTTGAATTATGGTGGGGAGGAATGAGGAATAATAAATTACAATTCTCAAAATAAGAACTAGAATGTGAAGAATGAACACTTTTCAAATAAATATATTCTGCGTCCACCCACAAATTAAAAAAATATTTTCATCGTGTTATGCATTCAAAATCCACTTTTTAGAGGGTTTTAGTAAAGTAGTAAACCACTACACGGAGCACATGGTGATCAACTACAAGGATATACCAACACTTCTTGGAGTCAATGATGTCAGTTCGTTTCACTTTTATACAAGCGTTGCATTTGGTGACATAAGATTTGAACATTTATAAACATCATTTGTTCCCTCCCATAACTGTCGTTATGCATGCATGCCATGCAACAGACGTCTCGACAAAGACTATTAATCGCGTATACTAATTTCTAAACTTCAAAACGCAGTACTTATTCAAACTACAGTTGTGAGTTATATATACTAACACCTTCCCCAATAATATATGCGAAGTCAACCAAAGATCGTAGTCAACAAAATAGTTTAGGTTTTCTTCTTTCTAACTAGCAACCTCTTGAGCAAAAAGCTGTTAGTAACTGACCAGACTGTTAAGCCATGTTTATATACAAGCCTGGTTTTAGCCAGGTTTTTGCTTCACTGATTGGCTGAATAGTGTAATCAGCCAATAGACCTTTCTCATAATGACGACAAACGCGGATAAACACTTCGGCTTCCCCTTTCTCCGTAAAGGCGATGTGACACCGAACAACTTTTAACAACAATTCGCAATGCAAATCATTGGCGAACCAATCAAAATTCATGTAACATCATTTTCATTGCAAAGTGTCGATAATTGTCCTGTGTAATATCGCTGGCGATTGACGTCATCATGAGGAAGGTCTATACAGCATAAGCCAGATTATTAATTCTATAGGAGAAGTTCAAATTAATTACGAGATCCGTATAACAGGTGACAAAAATTATCATTTATTGTCCTATTCTTTCACAATCGTCAAAACTGCGAAGTAGCTAGGCTCGATACCAGCCCTAATATCGGCTGGTAATCGAGCCTATGAAGTAGCTCGCAGTTTTCTATCACTAACATCCCAACGAAGGGCCTTCGCTCAGAACGTCAAGTTTTACTTGTATTTTTCAGGTAGTTTCAACCCTCTCAATCCACAGGTTCTAGTTTTCTATATACATCACACATTGCATATAATGAGTTTCGTCAAACAGTAGCTCTACTTAAATCCACATACATGCATCGGCTGTGAATGCATGCATTTTTTAAAATGGTTTTGTTGGATAAAATACACTAAATTTTTAACTCTGTGCATGGTTGCATGTTCATTAGTGTCCTTTAGATGTGGTAAACCTAGGACGAGGACGTGACAAAGAACACACTCTAAATTCTCAGTGTCAGCAACACGGATAAAAATATGGATTTTTTGTCAACAAAGAAGGATATATGTGAAAAACAAATTCAAACTGGTAATAAATCCAAAAGACAAGCATAAGTAACTGTCTTTTAGTCACGTCCGCGTACTAGATTTAGCTCATCTTAAGTTCGCTATTATGAAAAGTGTGACGTAAATCTGATTGCATTCATGCACATCAAGTTATAATCTCACCAAATTAAATATATAATCTCACCAAATCAAATATATATTTCACCAAGAAAACACGTAAATGAAAATCTCTTTAAAAAATAAGTTACTTTACAGTTTTGACGGTTCTTTCAAACTGAACATAAAACATTTTGGGTCTTGTCACCATTTATACGATGGCATAAGTTTCCTTATTTACCTAGGAGCCTTTACATATAAGCCGCTATTTATAAGAAAGATGCTAAACGTTGGAATAAATACTGCTTTCCATTTGGTCATGGTGCTGTTGCGGTCATGTCAAGGTGATCGAAGTAATCTGGAAGAATGCATGATTTAGAGGCACACTTTACATATCGACGATTCTTAACGGAATGCATTGGCGAACCAATTAAATTTCGTGTAACATCATTTGCATTACAAATCGTCTTTGAAACACCGTTCCGTGTAACAGTTTTATTAGAGAGGTTAAGATACCCCGGTTACGGTTTACGGGTACGAGTATCGCCATTTTGTTTGTCAATTTTTGCTGATGTCAGCAATTTTACCCGTAATTTCTACCCGTTTCCCCGCGGTAAACCATGGTCTACACGTAAACGACAAACGGGTACGGGTGTTTTCTGTTTACTATTTTTGGGCCGTTTAAACAGTACAAATTTTCAATATCTTACCCAAATAAATAATGCACATATACTGGTCAAATTTTTCAACAATTTATGGCGAACCTCAACAGCGAAAGTTGCCATTCTCTAATCGGTTTTCTCACGCCGAAGTATCTTGGATTTCTTAAGTTACAAGTTATTCTCCGATTTACGGGTACGGATACGTGTATATCACCCGTACCCGTAAACCGGAATCGGGGTATCTTAACCTCTCTAATCCCATGTTTCACGCACAAGATACTGTCCTATAATTGGAATCAAGATAAAAGAGAACTACATTCCCAAGTGAAACAAGAACCGTGTAACCAGCCCAGGTGCGCTGGGGGGAGACAGGAAGCGAGAAGGCCTAGTACAATTCACGGTCACAATTCTTGGAACCATTTTTGCCCATCGAGCGGTCCTAGGTTCTACATATTTACATCGATAAATTTATCTTTTCTATCGTTTTTAAAAGGCTATTTAATAAAGGAAATAGAAAACATTTTTTCCGTGTTCCTATAGAGTTTATAGAAACACTTTCACGCGTGTTTCTATAATTCTATAGAAACATGGAAAATGTCTTCTATTTCTTAAATGGAAGGAAATACATGTACTGGCAGATCGGGTAAGGCTACTTTATGAATTTAGGACTAAGACCACGTTAAGGAATTTCGCTAGGCCTTCTCCCGTGGTTCAAAACCGATCCAGTCACGCAGGATGGCCTGCAGTGACTAGGCTACCGTGTAACATCATCTTAGAGCACAAACAGATCCAGCCTATTTCACATCAGCTAGTATATGTATGACTTGGCCACAACAGCCGCAACCGAATGGAAACCGATCCTAATGAAAACCATGCTCAAGTATTCTAAGATGTTATTAGAAACAACAAGACATCCGTTTAAATAGATATTTATAAAAATTGTTCTGGACGAATCATATTTTTGACTATACGTCGTTTAGTCGTTCAAAGACATGCACATGTATGCAGTGATAATTATAATTCTTTCTTATTTCTGGGGACATTACGGAAATTTTTGCATTTATAACTTATTTTGGTTTATGGAAATGTGGATCAAAAGCCTCGTTAAAATATAAACATCGTGCTTTTATGATGGAAAAGAAATATTCAACCATATCCGTTACTTCAACGAAACGATAATTTTTTATCCAAAATATCCACACTTTAGGTTTATAATATAGCAGTATGTCACACTTACTGCGCACAAGAAACGTCTTGTAACCCCACTTTTATGACGGATGTAGACAAAATAATGGGTCCGATGAAAAAGTAAAACCTTGTGAATAAAGTGCTTAGAATTGTTCTTATATTTGTATACCGGTTTTTAGTTTTATGCACTTGTCTTGTGGGTCTAAATTGTTATTCTTGGCAAATTGATTAAAAATTAAAGATGGCAATTTTTAACCAGAAATACACCAAAACACACGTGACAAGAACTGAAGTTAATGTAAAATTATCATATATGACTATATGGAGTTGATTGCACAAAAAACACATGTATATCAAAGTTACACAACCACAAGATTCTCCTATAGATCCAAATATCGGTGAAAAGATGATTCATAGCGACATGGCAAAACTCCTTAACAATTGTTTTAAACAATCAATATATCTCATATGCTTTAGCCTTTAGGGAAGCATATTTTGTGATGATAAATCATATTGAATGAAGTACATTATCCGGGTTCACTCTATATATTTAGGACACAATTAGTGCCATGCAATTGCCAGAGTCTTCCCGCTCTATTACTTCTATTACACAGCGTAACGAATGCAATAACTTCGATGGAAAATCAGTTAAGAACCACCATCCGTAATTTCATGCAAAAGACCTATTAAAATGTTATATTTCTCTGTTAATTTGTTGCTTGAAAAAATAACAATTTTGACTCACAAAAGTGTGCAAATGCATGCAAAACAAATTCTTAACATAATATTTAGCTAAAATCATCAACAAAATTACGATTTTACCAAAAGAGAGTCGTCGCTCAAAACATCAAACTATCTTTTTTCTGGTTCGAACACTAAACTATGGCATCTCATTTCGGTCATAACCTTAAGCTTTAATATTTTACAGAAAACAACTGACGAAATGCCAAGTTTGAGATTATCAACAAAGTCTACAACTTTTTCCATGGACCACTTTTCTGTCAAACCGCATGTTTACAAGACGATCATGTTTAAGGAGTTATTTTCACTTGTATGTTTAGTTATTTCCTCGCATGTTTGCATGGTGAAAATAAATAGGCAAAAAGTAAAACAATTGTTTTGTTGTGTAGGAACGTCGCGTTTAGTTATTTCGCAATGCGTTCGACCCGTAAGGCCGGATCGTCGTCATCCGTGCAAATAAACTATTATTATTGAATTATTTTACTGGTGTACGGATCGAAATCTTTGCCAAATAAATAAAAGTAGTGTTTCCACACAATAAAACAAGTATATTAACTATAGTATGCGTCTTTTAGGTTAAATATTCAAACAACACTAAGCTGAACAATTAATTTAAGACTATAACGATTATATATGTAAATCATATATTAAGATGTAAATCATATATTAAGACTATACGATTATATGTAAATCAGCACACTGCTTTCATTCTAAATATAGACCAATCATAAAAAAACACGATTATTTGACTCAAAAACTTGAGTAAAATAATGCACCCTCACCGACTCAAAATTTTGAGTAAAATCACTCAAATTTGTTACTCATGCAATTTCTTCAGTAAAGACTTACTTTACTCAAAAATGAGAAAATTTGCTCGTAAATTTGAGTAATTTTTATCAATATTTTGAGTCACTGCATGTGGGTGCAGTATTTTACTCAAGTTTTGAGTCAAAATGTTTTGCAGTGTATTCTACACTATATACAAGTAGAGTGCATTAATCTTGCCAAGAACACACTACATGGAACGCCACACACATGTAGATGCAGGCTTGGTACAACTAAATGCTGCTTCAAATAAACAAAGTTCGAAAATGTTTAGTCGATAACTTTCAACAATTTTAGGCTGCGAAGGAAACTAACCAACAGATACATTCAAACCAATTTTAGCCTGCGAAGGAAACTAACCAACAGATACATTCATTTTCACATTCAAAACAAACGTGCGAAACGAATGGTGTATATGCAATGCAATACAATACAATACCAAACAACACGATACTGAAACATAATACAAACAATACAATATGCATGCAACAACAACAACAACAACAACAACAACAACAACAACAACAACAACAACAACAACAACAACAACATACAAAACAACAGTGAAATACAACACATGCACAGCTCAATACAATGCAATACAATATATATGCAATACAATACACCATGACATACATGCACGACACACAAATCCACACTGATGTAAACAAACAAACAAATTCTAACCTTCATACTTGGTACATATTTACTTCCGCTTTTCCTTTGAAGATGCAATTATTAAGTTATTTTTCCTGAACTATATAACCAGTCATAAAAGGCAAGTGCAATATAATATGAAAGAGGGCATATTTCTGTTACATAACCAAAATAAAGTATTACTGTACTATCAAATAAAGATGCTCAAAATTTGACCTTATATACTTACCAACTCAATATGCAATAAAATGATACTAGTTTATACGATATTTAAATTTAGTTTTATTGTTAATAATTTAATTTAATGGGGAGCACATGTATTTTTCTGCTACAATACAGAGACACTATAGAAAAGCAATATATGCAATACGAATTTTACGAAATGATACACATACCTGTGAAATTTGCGCCTGCAAGCTAAAGCGTGCTCGTGTTTCTCGAACGTCACCAAGGCTTTATGTTTTGTTGTTGACATTTTGAGTTGCTGGAAAAGAGATAAAGGAACAAAATAAACAAATTATCATTTCTGTATAATGTTACCAAATATTAAATAACGACGTTTAGTTTAAAGCCAGGATCAAACGATATTTCCATTTTACCTGAAAATCAGCGTAAATTACACGTTCCTGCATGTCCTACAGTTTCTGTCGCCACGCCCCTGCATATCCTAGTGCTACAGTTTTTTTAACTTTGACCTGTTCTTTTCATTTCTAGTATTTACAGAGTGCTAACATCAAGTTTTAAACATCTACTCAAAAACCGAGATAGAAAATAGGTAGAAGTCTATGACTATTTTAACTGTTGTCACAAGTGAAAAAGTTCGGCTTCCCGCCCTAAATAGCATACGTTTTTATCTATGATTACGTGGATTACAATTCGGCCAAATCGGCTGAAACCTATGTTTGTAATGAACAATCACGTACTGACGTGAGAGCGACTGGGGAAAAACCTGGATATGAGGTTGTGTGATCAGCTTCCTAATAGAACCAACCACTCTTTTCACACCTGAAAGACTCAAAGGCAAAAGTATGAACCCCTGTCGCAGAGGTAGAATGTTGGATGAAAATTTTGAACCAAATCAAAGATCCCCAAATCAGGCAACATTACCCAACATATTGTTCAAACAGACCCTACAATGTTCAACACTGTTGGATGATGATGTTGTCATGTTCAACCAACATGTTTGACAATTTGGACATGTTGGACACCGAGTTCCGGTGTACCTCTATCAACTCCTCAATACATGTTTAGTATCACGTACCTCAATAGGTCCAATAGTAGCCAGTAATTCCTTCAGTTTAAACGGAGTGATAGAGTCTGGCAAAGAACCAATCACAATGCGGTTTGTAGGTTTACCAGAAGTACCAGATTTCGTCGCCACAACTCTGTTTCCTTTACTGTCAGTGTTTGAAGACCTGCGATCTGGAGAGCCTTTGCGGGAATGCTGAAATAAGAATAATACTCAGAAATATCGTGATAGAACTGTTTAATAGCAGAAGTGGAATGAACAGGTCCAAATATATATTTCAGGTAAATATATTTCAAGGCTTGGCCTTTGAAAACTTAATGCACCATGAGTTTAAGGAATACAATGGTAGTCTAAATGCCACATTGATAAAACGTTGTTAAACGAAAGATTGTTACTCGGCCGGATACTATTTGGAACATACTCTGAAATTATTCTATTTGTTAACGTTCGTCAGGTGAATTATAACGTAAGCTCCAAAGTATTTTCATTCATGGTGGTGACCCGTTATTCAATGATAATACATTGCTCCAGTTTTAGGCGATAATATTGACCTAGCTGACCCATGACACAATTGGAAGACCCTGAATTGATTCTTGAAGAATATTTGAACAAAATAGTAAGATTTCCTGCAAATGACAACAGAAGAATTCTCCATTACAGTAACCTCTTCCACAGCCATCTCATGGAGTCATGGGTTACCTGGGTTGTTGTGGCTGGCTTATTTTTTTGCAAACTCGACGATGCCGTGTCAATTGAAGTTAAAAACAGGCGTTATGGAATTTCATTACTTGTTTAACCAAGCCTACAAACGTGGTGTCTACTATAAGGTTGACTTTGGGCAACACCGTTTGCGTAGCAACAAGCTTTCGAGTTGCCCCAAAGACGATCATGATATGAATAACAACGCTCATTCATTCTTTATGTCTTGCATGGAGAATTCACTGCCACGTCGTAGGTCTTAAACTTCCTAAAAACACAGAAACTTCCACTTACCCTGTTACTTCCATGAGATCCTCTGTCGCCACGACTCTCCGTCTTTGAGCGCCTACTACCCGCTCTCTCCCTGCTCTCATTCTCATTATTCCTACTCCGCTCACTTTTTCTGTCTCTCTCCCTATCACGTGGCTTTTCTTTTGACGGTTCACGTTTCCCTCCTCTATCCCCTCGCGTCCTCTCATTGTCCCGCTCTCTCTCGCGTGCTCTATCAACGCGAGGACCACGTCTAGCACGTGGAGACCTGCTACGGGGCACTTCAACTCTCGTATTCCTCTTATCTTTCTCTCTTCTGATCTCTCTATGTGTCTCTCTGGTTCTTTTCCCTGACTTCTCTACACGCCTGGGTGGAGATCCAGCTCTAGGCATTCGAACCTCACGTTTCGGAGAAGAGCGGGTACGGCTAACCGGGGTCCTGGATCTAGACCTAGATATTGATTTGGACCAGGACCGGGTTGGTGACTTGGACAGTGAACGAGATCTTGACCGGCTCCAAGAAGAAACCGAGCGCGAGTCTGACTGGGAGTCTGAGAACGAGCCAGATCTTGAGCGGCTACTCAAGTCGCTATTGTCGCTGTATTTCCGATTCGATTTCTCACGTGTACGCTAAAAATATAAATAGATGCAATTTTTAACGAGGTCACGTTCAGAAACCAGTTTGATTTCTCAACAAACAAGTTTACAAAAAGGTCGTCTCTTTTACGGGGAATTGGATAACTTCTTGCCATTATTTTGTACTACCGTGTATTGGCTTGGTAATAAATTTTGTGCTCTTGGGGGTGCTGGTTGCAAAGTGGTGAGTGCATGCATGTGTCTTTCACCAACAAAAGATTACCTTTACTGGACCTTAAGAGAGAACAGTTTAGTCAGAACTGATCATAGAGTTATCCAGCACAATTAAATTTCGATCAACAATGAATGGCCCTTATTGGAGCTCTAGTGTTCTGAGCCTAAACATAACTGATAGAGCTACTGTACGAGCTATCATGGTTATATAGTTCACTTTGGATTCTCTCCTGAAATAGATCAACATGGAGGGATGGCTCTTAACGGACCTACAGGGAAAACAGTTTAGTTAGAACTGACAGAGCTTGCCCAGCATAAAATTATATACACGTACTCAAACTTCGCGTACCACTCAAACTTACTTTTAGTTTTATATTCTAGTTTATCCGGTTGAGAAGCACAGAATCACTGATGCATTAACTATGATTAAATTGACGCCATATTTACAGTACAGCAATTTAAGCAAAACTTACTGAACTTCAGACAACATTAATTTTAGAATAATTTATATTTATTAATATTTTAGAATGTTTTGTTTTCTGATTGAGAAACGTTTCAAAATTTAAATTTCTGAATGTAGTCATAACCGAGTGGCATTATGCTCATTAGTTTTGAGCGCATGTTACGTAACATACAAACAATTTCCTCTTAAAATTAATGTAGTAATCTTCTTTGTTGTAGGATTCGGTACAGTAAACGCATGTCAGAAATTCTACACCTGTACTTACTTTAGTTGGTCGCTCTGTTGTTTCTCTATCAAAAGATTGATCTCGTCGCATTTGTTGTTGCCAGTTCTGCATATCATACATAGCTTGTTGCATGGCCGCCGCAGGATATTGTTGTTGCCTTGCAATGAACGCTGGATTGTTGTATAACGCAGCCAAGTCTGCTCTCTCATTGCCCATCATTCGCTGGTTTAGATACATGCGGTCCATAGCACCACTTATTGGCACGTGGGGTGAAGCCTGCAAGGCCGCACGATGTGCCTCCATCTGCATGGCAGGCGACATACCAGGTGGAAACTGCGCTGGGTGATGTAGGCCTGCAGATGAGCTACGTACAACCATTGCATCAGCTACTGACATCGGTACGCCTGGTAAAATCCTTTGTCCTGTAGGTGTTACCGCTGCCTGAACAGGGGATGCAAACTGAAAAGAAAATTTAATCCAATGGCTTAGTACGAATACAATGTTGTAACTTGTGAAAACGGAACAGTCTGAAGGGAAACATTTTCAATTGTAAAAACGAATTACAGTTATATACGTACCGTATTTACTCGTTTAAGCGCCGCGGCGGCTTGTTCGAGGGCAGCGCTCTTTATAAAGTATTTTATTTATAAGCGATAACAAAAAATATTAGCAATAATATATAACAAACACTGAAATGAAATTGAGAAAAGTTCCGAGGTTTGTTAAAGATTACAATCCCGTACCAAGGGCGTTTTCCTTCCATTTCAGACGGTGCTTCGATTAAGCGCCGCGTTGTTGTGAATAGGCGTGGCGCTAATTCGGGGGCGGCGGTCTCAATACGTTTGCTCTCATATGCTCAATTGAGGGCCGCGCTTAAACGAGTAAATACGGTATATAAAAAATCTAAATCATTGTAAATCGCGGTCTAGCTGTCCAAATAACGTAAAATGTTCGGTATAGACAAATTTGAGAAAGAAAATTTCACGAGATTTTTACCAGACATCAAGATGGAAAATCGATAACGACAACTCGGATCGGAGAATAGCTCATTGGTTATAGCACTGGTGTATGTGGTCGCTAACCAGAGAACGTGGGTCCGATTTCCCGTGGGACATCCAGAAGATACCACAAATTATATTCCTACAATACTGAGGAGAAACAAATCTTACCCTTGGTGCTAATTCTGGATTTACAGGTAAGCCAGGCCTGGGTGGTAATCCTTGTCCATGATTTACAGGTAAGCCAGGACGAGGTGGTAATGCTTGTCCAGGAAATGGGCCTGGAATTCTCATGTGAGGACCACGAGGGCCTGGAAGAAAAAGGGGTAATATAAAATATAATCAGGTGTAGGTGGGAGTGTTTGTTATACAGTGTTTGTGCATGTGCTTTTCAAATCTGTGACTACGATTTGTTTCCAGCAATATGTACTTGCTTTACAATAGACCCTTTCCCTTTATGAGTGAAATTTTGATCTAAACAAGTCTGGACAAAAATTTCATCACAGCTTGAAAGAGCATCACAAAATTAGTAATATTCCAAAGTTTCGTTGTGAAATGTTGTAAAATGCGAATAATATAGCCTTGCCAAGTTTGCCGTTTTTCAGTCATTTTGTATTACAAATGGTAAATTGATAATCAGTTTGATCATCTGATTATCAATTTCCGTTTGTAATGCAAAATGACTGAAAAACGGCAAACTTCGCAAGGCTATATTATCCGCATTTTACAACATTTCGCAACGAAACTTCGGAATATTACTAATTTTGTGATGCTCGTTCAAGCTGTGATGAAATTTTTGTCCAGACTTGTATAGATCAAAATTTCACTCAAAAGGGGAAAGGTCTATTGTCGATGCATATGCATGATACGTCTTCTTGTCTCTTTCAACACATTTTTGATAGAAACGTATTTAAAGTAATGACGTAAAAACTGAAGAGACTGGTTTTCAGCGAAATACATATTTTATACCGCCATATTTTTTAAGTTTTTAATAATATGCATGGATTTTTAAATATTTATTAAAAGTGTGCTGGTAGAGAAAAGAAGAGGTATTATGTCTGCATCGACAATTTTAAAGCTATCGAACTGTTTCCTTGCTTCAACTAAGAACATTAGTGAGAATATGTGGTTGTCTGATTATAATTTCGTCTTGGCGACTAATTGTATTAGTAGAAATTTCCAAGGTAAAAATAAACAAGAAAAATTATGACATCCTGAATAAAAGTTATAATCACTGGGTAGGCAGATAATGGACTATATCGTCATATACAGGTAGGTCAATTTCCACAAATCAGAATGCGGGAAATGCAGCCACTACAAGGAATAGCCTCTATGAAGAACAGCTTAGAACTGATACGGTACAAAAAGAGTTTAAATTTTGGTGTATACACAGCGGTTATTATAGAGAGGTTCAGATTTGACTTGCACTACCATTAAGGGACTATTAACCAATCAGATGCGTTTCATATATCCGATTAACCAATCAGATGCGGACTAAGCCTGTGAGAGGTAGTGGTAGTCAAATCTGAACCTCTCTTGAACCTTAATAAAAGCATCGAAATTTCCCGAATTACCTTCAAATCCAGGTCTAGGAGCCATAAAGCGAGGATTAACATGAATGTTCTTACCCACTGGAGAATATGAAAGAAATACGTATCAGTACATGTACATTCCGTGTGCGGTGTGTTCCGATTTTATCGGTTACTTCAACCAACCAGAACCCATGCTGTGATCACATGATTTGAAAACTTTTACCGCTTCCGTCATCCCTTATCAGCTATCTAACGTACGTGTCCGACTTATTCCGATTTACATCGGCAAATAAACGGACTTAAGTCGCCCGACTAAAATCTATCGTGTGCGCCAGGCTGTAAATAACTTAATGACTAGGCCTGTTCAGTCCGGACAGTAAGATATCAGTCTCGTTCTCTTTTCGTTTGTAGGAACTCAACAAATGTTCGGTGTGATGACGATTTTAATATAGCTTTATTGTTGCTTTGTCAACTGTGGTCGTCACACGTCTATACTTTCGGAAATATTCACCAGAATATACTGTACATAAAAATATTATGAAAGCAGAAGGATTGTTGCACTAACGTTTCCAGTCAACAACTATACAGGTATTCCACTATACAAGTATTCAGTATTCTCATCATTGATTACAAACATTACTCAGAATCACTCACTAGGAGGTCCAGGAAAATTTGGCGGCAGTGGTCCTGCTGGGAAGGGGCGATGTCCAGCGTCGTGTAAAGGGGGGTGCATATCTCTCTCCGGTCCTCGAAACCTTCAAATAAATAGTCAATTACTTTACTACCTATACAGCTGTAGTTACAGATCATTTAGTTATTCAGCAGGGAAACCTTAAACTTCTTCTTCTATAGCTAGATAAAAATCCTATATGGCAGGTGACATACGAGATGGAAACTGCGCTGGGTGATGTAGGCCTCCGGATGAGCTACGTGCAACCATAGCATCAGCTACTGACATCGGTACGCCAGGGAAACCTTAAACTTCTTTTATAGCTTGATAATTTATAAAAATCCTATATAACACTAGTTGGAATACAAGTGTTGGTATGACCAGTTCAGATCTTGTGTATAGTTTTCAGGCACAACTAGTGTGCGCGAACCGAACGTGCAAGCACTGCTTCCAGACACCTTTTGAATTTGTGAAAGAGCGTTTTGAAACACTTTTTAGAAAGACTTTCTATCAGTATTTACCTGACAAAATCTAAAACAGCATGAATTTCTGCTAGCATGTTTTGAAGTTATCAATTCTGCTCGCGGGCACAAAAAGCCCTGATTGTTCTATTAGCAGTTTTATTAGGTTTTCCCTCAGGATTTTAGCTGAGTGTGTTTTCCATAGAAGACAGAGTAGCACACTCGGTTGAAGGTCCAAGAAGTGAAACCTTTGGAAGTTCCACGATTTCGGCTGTTTAGCTACAGATCCTCACTACGACCCAAGCATAAGCAAGCTTTGATCGTCTTATGCTTGTGTTGTCCTCACTACAACTCAAGCATGAGCAACAACATAAGCAAAATAAAAGAACGCAATGTTTTGATTTTCTTCTGCTTATGTTTATGGTTATGCTTATGTTGCGTCGTGGTGAGGACAGTAGATCACAGTTAATTCCTCTTATACTTGCGCTTATGCTTACGTCGTAGTGAGGACCAGGCTCGTTACGGTAAGTTTAGAAAATCTCAAAATCGCTTTTGGAAGATGATTTTGGTGTTGAAGATTACGTGCGTGCTCGTTTGCGGGTTGTTCCACACATAGTGGGGTGGGACAACCTGCTTGTATAAAAAATACATGCCATATTATTTCTTCAATCTACCTGGGAGGTGTTCTACCACGATGAAATCCTCTTCCACGACCGAAGTCTCTGCCACTACCTCTCCCTCGCCCACGATTAAAATCTTTTTTATCTTCAAACTTGTCACCTTTAAGAATGCGATAGAATTATGGGACCATGGAAAATGCAGGCAGATTTTATTTATGTGGAGGAAGTAGCCAAGGATTTTTCCAGTTGTAGCCACTTAAACTCTAGATTTATATAGCTACTGTACATAGCTCCACTGCCTCGACATACTGCATGTATTTGTGGAGTTGGACTTTAACTTCAGGATTCTTAATTCAACAAAGTTTTGAAGCGCACATTTTGAATTTGGAGTTTCCCCCGCAGACTCTCGAGGTAGGGTCGCTCCCAAACGTCTGCAGCCATGCCATGGGAAAATGAGTACTTAAAGAGTTTAAAAGCCTGACAAGTTGTTACGTACCTTTACGATTACCTTTGCCATCTTTTTCTTCGTTATCAGCGTCACTTTTCTCGATCTTTATAACTTTATTGGGAATATCAACAATAAATAGGTATTACCCAAAAGGAAAAGTGCGAAAGGTTAGGAAAAGCCCATGCGAGGCGCCCCCCTTTAGACCTTTACAATTATATTTATATTACACAATTACAAAAACAAACGCATGCATTTTAAAACAAAACAGCAAACTCAATGGATGATTTCAGCTATAGCCTAAATTTTGATCCAAACAAGAAAGACGAAATCTATCATTACTGTACAGCTTAAAAGATCATCCTAAAATTAGTAAAATTGCAAAGTTTGGTTGCGAAATGTTGTAAAATACGAAAAATATAGCACTATGAAATTAGAAAATGTTGAGTATTTTAGTATGACGCGCGAAAAAATGCACCATTTTCGGCTCGCCCTACGGGCTCGGTCCGATATTTCTCTGTCTGTACAGACCTCGCTTTCGGTTAATAGGAAGTTAGGATCAAACAGAAAGGATATTTAACAGTCGTACCCACTACAATCGACAGTTAAAAACATTTTGAGTTTGTTTAACGAATATTTTATCTATATTCCACCTTCTGATTATATTTATTTGTTCTCCTGGCCCACTAGCTTCTATACATGTATAAACGTAGCTAAGTGTTTCTGCACCAAAAGCACACTTGAGAAAAATTTTGGTTTCTACAGGAATGTTTCCAAGCCGGGAAACGTTTGTGCGAACATGAAAATTTCGAAATATGACGGGGGCTATTAGAGAGGGCGCACTTGTTGAGCAAGGGAGTTTATTGATTTAGCCAGAACGCAGAACGTACGAAGGGCAATAAGTGAACGTATAGGTCAATTTATAAATCTAATCAGTACACATGTGTTTCTTTGTTATACAAATTTAACAGTATTTCTGTGTAATAATGCCAATAAAATAAAGTACATATCAATGAATACGTAATTTCCACAAACTTCCGCACTTTTGTACAAAACAGTGTTTGTCTATACCTGCTTGTTTTGATTTCTTCTCATCTTCTTTTTCTTCCTGATCTTTTTCAATGTCAAATTCTTCATCGCCATGAATACTAACAGCATCTTCTAAATCCACATCTTTCCTTCATGGAACAAACAAGAATGGCAATGATACAAAAAATATATATATGATAAACAGTAACACATCTTTTTCTTAGCAGGTTTTAACTTTCATGGTTCTTCTACCAGCATAACACATTTACTGCAGACTATATACAGTAAATTTGATCACTGATTTATGTATTGGTTTACGCTTATTTATTTGCACACTTTATTCATGACTCAGTTAGCAAATCTAATTTTTCAACATTAATCTCGTTTTAAATAAACAATTTTACTTCACTCGTTCACAGACTCATATTCAAAATTCTAAATATTTTCAACTCCATTTTATGTTAGTTATTTCTATATGACTAAGTTGAACAGGATGGCATACGCTGTAATCATAAATCAGTAGGTCTGCCAACATTAGATTGAAAGATTACAGCGGACAACGCTAAAAATTATATTTACGTAAACTGATACAGCGTGAAATGTGAAGACAAAACAGAGTCTAAAGGCGGTTTTCCACTAGGCGAAATTTTTCGACCGAATCGAAATTTCTCTTTGTTTCAGAGCTCTCGAGCAGAACTAATTGTAAAAAGACAAAGAGAAATTTCGTTTCGGTCGAAAAATTCCGCCTCGTGGAATCCGGCCTTAAAGGCGGTTTTCCACTAGGCGAAATTTTTCGATCGAACCGAAATTTCTATTGTTCAAATTCAAAAGATTTCTGTTTAGTTCCATCTGAGTGCTTGTTAAGACAAAAGAAAATTTCGATTCGGTCGAAAACTTTCGCTTAGTGGAAAACCGCCTTAACAGACAACAAATTAATAATTCATGAAAAAAACACAAAGAAAAATCATAAGCGTGTCGTATCTGTATATGTGATACAGATTCATGTTGATTTACATAAACTTTAACTTTGATTTTCTCGGCTTAGACAACGTTTATTTTTAAAATTACTTCGCCAATGAACTCATAAGATGAGTCGTTTTTTAAGACATTTACAACATTCGCGTCCGTGTTGTATCGGATATACAAACTCTCGCCTTCGGCTCGAGTTTGTATATCCGATACAACACGGCCGCTCATGTTGTAAATAGTACTTACAAGATTAGAAGAGAACTACATATGGAAGTACTTCTGTATGATTACACATATGTGTACACATAATTTGAAATTTTAACTGCACATTTTTGCTGTAAAGAACCATTTTTCTTAGAGAAACATAAGTAGCTACACATATTTGTTAACTTACGATTCACTTCCTTCATCATCACTTCTCTGCCTTTCCTACCATAAACACAAGGAAAAAGAGGGTTACAAAAATGGTAAAAAATGCTGGTAACTGACATTCGAAAATCACGATCAGAAAGAAATTACGGCCACCAACAGATGATTCCACCTATCGACTATTTTTTTATCTAGACAAGAAAGACGACATCTATCATTATAGCTCAAAATAGCATCCTAAAATTAGTAAAATTGCAAAGTTTGGTTGCGAAATGTTGTAAAAGACGAAAAATATAGCCCTGTGAAATTGAAAAAGTTTGAGTATTTTACTATACGTGCGGAAAAATGCACCACTTTTGGCTCAAAAGTGGTGCATTTTTCCGCGCGTAAAGCCTGATTTCCACTTGGCGGAATTTTGCGCGCGGAGCGACATTTTCCGCAGCCACAAAGTTGAAAGCAGTTCAACTTTTTCAGTTTCCGCGCGGAAAATGTCACTCCGCGCGCAAAATTCCGCCTAGTGGAAATCAGGCTTAATACTAGAATACTCAAAATTTGCTAATTTCATAGTGCTATATTTTTCGTATTTTACAACATTTTGCAACCAAATTTGGCAATTTTACTAATTTAAGGATGTTCTTTTAAGCTATAATGATATATTTCGTGCTTCTTGTCTGGTTCAAAATTTAGTCTATAGCTGGATAACTTTAATCATCTACTGACACCTAAGATGAGCTAGCTCATCTTAACTGAGTATGCATATATTGTACATGCTGGCGAGCACTGGATATTAATGAAGAGAACATATTGGTATACAATTTGGGGGTAAAGAAAAAGCAAAAGAACCAAAAACAATTTTAGGCTTTCAAATTAAAAACACTTTAAACTTACAATTTGAGCCTTGTTTTGTTTAAGCTAAATACAGAAAACAAAAAGCGCGCGAACATTTTGACTGAGCCCACGATACTATACAATGAATACTCAGCGACATGACCGTGTTTCTGGTCGTGACTGTAACATATACATGCGCTTACCTCGGCCACTTCGTTTTTGTTGGAGCCATTCAATACGTTCTAAAATTGGCAAATGAAAAGTGTTTTTTGTTGTCCGCAGCATTGCAAGAATACTGTAGTAGCTCGGACTACATTATAGAGATGTTTTTGATGGCGTATGCATTCAGTGATCACTCGGATACAGTAAGTGCAAAATTTCTTTGCAGGGGTTGAAATGGCTGGGCGCCAAGTCGCCAAATGCGACCAACATTTTATCTGGCGACCAGACATTTGCCGTCATGGCAACTGAGAAAAACATTTGAAATGATAATTGTAAAGCCTTAAAATATCTCAGTATTATTCAGTATTTAATTCTGCTTTTGGATATAATTTCCCAACATATTAATTGAACAACTGTTTTTTTTATGTTATTAACATATACAAAGAGAATACTTCATAACACCAATAGAGCAACAGCTTGGGTGACTAAATGGAGTCGAACGATTTGATTAAAAAATAAACATGAGAATGTCCCAATCGGCGATCGAACGTAAAGTTAACAGTGCAGATAGTTGTCCGGCAGCGCTGCAACACTATATCGTCACAGGAAATTTTCTTACGTCTGGCAGAACATTTTTTGAATCCGATATATCCTTTGGTTTCTGTTTAAACATTTCAAGTCTGTTTTGCAAATCAAAATTTTCATGTGTAGAAATTGAAGTTTAACATTAAATGTGTAGCACCCCATGTTCTCTGTAACCTATATTTTTTTTATTTGATATATATACAGGACAATTATATTTTTTGGATTTTGCTGCCAGGACGAAAAATATTTTTCTAGGCCTGCTTGGCAATTATATATAGACCATTCCTTTGATCACTAAGCTCTTGGGACGACAGATCAAAAACATATGTACACACTTAACGAAAGTTACCCAATTCACATGTTATACACAACGAGATTTACAGACTGATAAGATTGTGGAACCACGGAGGCCGATCAAGCCAAAAATGATAGTATTGAGGAAGAAATTGAACTTGTCAAGGCTTGTTTTCGACAAGTGATTTGTTTTTACAAGTGATTCGACTACATGTGGACACCACATGCAAGGTACTGTCAATGATTATTTAAGAAATATAAAACATTTTCCGTGTTGATATACAGTTATATCAACACGAGTGGAAATTGGGGAAACGAGAAATTGTGTGGAAACACGACGCCCGATGGGCGGAGTGTTTTCACACAATTTCGAGTTTTCCCAATTTCCACGAGTGTTGATATAACTATATATCAATACGGAAAAAATGTTTTATATTTGTTTTATAATATAGCACAAAGAAATATAAAAAAAGAAACTTTCCGACATTTCCGTGTTGACATTGAGTTATATCAACACGGCTCTTAGCCAATCAGCGTTCAGAATATACAAACGCTATATTATAAACTGTATTATTAACGAGATGTATTTATTAAAGATAAAAACTCAATAACTTGTTCCAGGGGAACGACACAGATGATATTCAATTCTAAAACAAACCTCAGTTGGTTCTTTTTTCACAATAATTCCACTATAAAAACACGAAATGAAATATTAAACGAACTATTTTATAAAAAAAATTGAGTTAAGCTAAACAGGGCAAGAAAGGAAGGACTTTATCGTCAGAGCCGAACTTAATACAATGAATTAAGCACATGAGAAGCACGGCGTCTAAATCAATTAAGCACTGCACTTAATATTAAGCACGGCTATATTAATAAGTTCGCCTGGTTCAGGCGTGCTACACGGCTGAAGCACATGTTGATTTATACTGCCGTGCTTTACATGAGCCGTACCAAATGCATAAATTATGATAAAATAGAACATTTATAGTACGCGAGCGTTGATTGGTCGAGAAGCGTGTTTCTACACGGGAAATTTCCCGTCTAAACTTACAATCGTAAACAAAACAATTTTAATGCAAATTAAGAAACTTTAAAAAGAATTTTACCTACTCAGCTCATTTTGTAACTGTTACAGTCAAAATACAAAAACCTTCCCACCTCCGCTTCTCAACTTTACTAAGTACTGTACCTTGCTGCTTCTTTTTTGACTTTATTCTGATTTGGTTGTTTCCCTTGTTTTTGTGGTATAGCTTGTTTTTGACCTTGTTTTTGTGGTGTAGCTTGTTTTTGACCTTGTTTTTGTGGTGTAGCTTGTTTTTGACCTTGTTTTTGTGGTGTAGCTTGTTGTTTCCCTTGTTTTTGTGGTGTAGCTTGTTTTTGACCTTGTGTTTCGTTCAGCTTTCCTTGATTTCTCAGGGGTTGTCTAGGTTGGGCCATCCGAGGACCTCTGGGTAACGTTAGTGGGCGATTTGGTTGATTCGGCCGTAGTGGACTTTCTCCTGGTACGATTTGTTGCGGTCCTGGTCCGCCAGGTCGTAATCCCGGTCCCATGGGACGTTCACCTGGACCCCCAGGGTGTGGTCCCACAGGACGTTCTCCAGGTCCCATAGGACCTTTTCCTGGTCCCATTGGACCCCCTCCTGATCCCATTGGACGTTCTCCTCGGTTTATAGAATGGTCCCGGGGTCCTCGTGGACCAAAATGAGGTCCCCTTGGAGAAAACGGAGGTTCCATCGGAGGACCACGAGGTCCACGGGGACCAAATCTTGTGTCAAAATGCGGTCCTCTACGATCAAATGGTGGGCCTTCGTGATCAAATGGTGGGCCATCATGGGGGAAATGGGGTTCTCGGAATGGATGTCTAATGGGTGAAAATGGTCCTGGTCCCATGAATCTCGGAGGCCCTCCCCGTGGGCCGCGTGGCATTCCTCGTGGTGGCATTCTTGCACCTCTTCCTCCACCTCCCTGTTTCTTTGGAGGACTAGTCTTATCAGTATCTAAACATATGAAAACAACCATAAATGTATACGACTAATACGAGACTGATAATTATTGGGAATTATCTACTTACAGTACACTGTAAACCGAAAGTGTTCTCACTTATATAGCGATCGAGTTTCATGTACAACAGAAAAGTTGAGATTTATAAAATAGAGAATTAGTCAACATGTTATACAACAACTCTCAATATCCTTTCCCAAAGTGTATGGACCAATCATAGTTGTCTGTGATATTCACATGCGATTAAAATACCAGAAAATACAGCTAAAATTATAATTTAGATGCTTTGTAAGACGACGGTTAATGTAGAAGCGAGTCACAATATGAACAAAGGTTCCTATTTACAGTAGTTGCTACCAAACAGAAATCGATTGAACGTGAAAGGATGTGATAAATTTACTCTGGAATTGCAAAATGTATACGTCATTTCCATTGCTTGCACTTTTTTTTTTACGATGCCAAAAAAGTTGTCCTTATACTTACCAAACTCAAATCCCAAATTTGAAATATCATCTATAAAAATGATAGAATAAAATGTGTTATGAAACCATAAGCTCGCTTGCTAGCGCAGAGCATGCCAGCAGCTAGCCTGGCTGAATGGCCCTACACGTGCTGTAATTCATAAACCCTAATGAAATGTATCATTGTATAATAGGTTAAGCTTAGTATAAGTTATAGGACGGGTTTTTTGGCTAGTGTTGAGATTACGGTAATTTAAATGTTACTAGAGAGGTTAAGATACCCCGATTCCGATTTACGGGTACGGGTGATATACACGTACCCGTACCCGTAAATCGGGGAATAGCTTGTAACTTAAGAAATCCAAAATACTCCGGCGTGAGAAAACCAATAAGAGAATGGCAACTTTTGCTGTTGAGGTTCGCCATAAATTGTTAAAAGCTTTGACCAGTATATGTGCATTATTTATTTGGGTAAGATGTTGAAAATTTGTACTATTTAAACGGCCCAAAAATAGTAAACAGGAAACACCCGTACCCGTTTGTCGTTTACGTGTAGACCACGGTTTACCGCGGGGAAACGGGTAGAAATTACGGGTAAAATTGCTGACATCAGCAAAAATTGGTAAACAAAATGGCGATACTCGTACCCGTAAACCGGAACCGGGGTATCTTAACCTCT